GCAGGAGAATCACTTGAACCCAGGAGGCGGAGGTTGCAGTGAGCCGAGATTGTGCCTCTGCACTCCAGCCTGGCAACAGAGCAAGACTCCGTCTCAAAAACAAAACAAAACAAAACAAAACAAACAAACAAACAAAAAACAGCATTTAGACAATGCAAAGTTTATGGACAGTGGGAAATTCACTGTGAAGCTGACGAAGCTGAAGCTTCTGGGCTCCTAACCTGTGAAACCTGTATATGGGCCCCTCCTTTTTTTTCCCCCCCCTTTATTAGACAGGGTCTTGCTCTGTCACTCAGGCTGGAGTACAGTGACAAAATCATAGCTCACTGCAGCCTCAGACTCCTGGGTTCAAGCCATAACCTCCCACCTCAGTCTCCTGAGTAGCGAGGACTGCAGGTATGCACCAACACACTCAGCTAGTTTTCACATTTTTTATAGAAATGGGGTCTTGCTATGTTGCCAGGGCTGGCCTCAAACTCCTGGGCTCAAGCAATCCTCCCACTGAGGCCTCTCAAAGCACTGGGATTACAGGCCTGGCCTGTGTGGACCCCTTCTTCCTAGGACCCTGGGAAAAAAATCTTAGCAATGTGCTTATGTGCTTGTATTTTTGTAAAATTGGCAAAAGGGAAATGCATTCCTGTCATTTACCCAGAAGAGAGGCAGACCAGAAATATTAGGTGTTCAGTACCACAGACTACCAGACACAATCTTCAATACCTTGAAGGTCCTTGGAAGAGTTGTGCTTTAGACCTTCAGCCTGCCACCGTGTGGGTCTAAGAAAGCCCTTTATTCTCTGGAGGGCTGTGTCCATTTATGGAAGAGGTTAATAACGCTAATATTGATTGAGAACGTTTTGCTTGACATGCTCTGTTCTGAGCCCTTTATTCTTCCTCTTGATTCACCAACCATGCTGTGAGGTAGGAGCTTTTATGATCTCCAATATACACGGGGAAACAAGCTAAAGAGAGTTGTGGTAATTTTGCTTAAAGCTCAAAGTGACCCAGTGACCCAGCAGTCCCATAGATAGTTTTTTGGATGAGCATAGAAATTGACCGTCTGGTATTAAAGCTTGAACCTTATATTTGTTTTATCTGAGTTCCTTCCTCAGAGACCTTCAGGCCTCTCAAAACAGGTGTCAAAGAACTGGAACTCACCAGATCACTACAGCCAGACAGTGAGATGCCAGACTCCTCATCCATCACAATTGCTTCTGTGCCCCTTCCTAGTTCCTGCTTTCTTACACATTGTTCCATTTCTTCCCCACTATAGGACTCCCTAGTTTTAGTCCCTCAGGGAGATGGGCTTGAGACTGAACTCCCTTCTCCTCTGCTGCAGCACCTGTTTAAAGCTTCTTTGTCATTACTTGTCATCTCAGTCATCGGCTTTCTGTGCAGTGAGCAGCAGGACCTAGATTGAACCCCTGGCGTTTCGGTGACAAAGCCACACAATTAGTAAGTGGCAGAGCAGGCAATCAAATCTAGATGTAGGAGTCTGGATCCAGGGCCCAAACTGCAGCTGCTGGCAGCACTGGTAGTTACTGTTTTACTCAATTTCACACTAGTATATCTTGAATGCCTACTCTGTGCAAGAACCCGCTCATGAAAACTGAGACTGACACATGGAAAACACTTCGGAGGAATCTTAGTGTTTTTAAAAGTATCATCGGATCAGCACTCAAGTAAAAAAGGCATTTCTAATTTATCAAATCTATAAAGGAGGAAAAGTTTAAGATTGCTTAAACATCCTTGTGTGTGTGTGTATACATTATATATATATGTATAAAATATATACCCTTAGATTTTCCTCACAACTGTAACAATTGGAGGCAGTTGGAAGAATTATTAGGATTAAAACCACGTGGAAATCTAATTCTGACCTAAGTCATTGTGTTTTGACCGCAAGGCCTCTCACGCCTCAGAGCACAGTGTGTACGCCTTTGTTCTCGCTGCCTCCTACTGAAATTGTGTCTCCTGTTTCCCAACCCCCAGTCCATTAGGTCTGTCCAGCACAGTTGTATGTGGTTACCTGTATGTGTTCTGCACCTACATGGCCCCTGACACACAGGCTTTCCTTAAGACATTTGTTGCTCTGCTTCTCTTGCTTTTATTTATGAAATAGACAAATGAACAATGATATAAATTAGCTCAAAGTTCACGATGTTCTTGCTATGTTTGTCAAATCCCTTGCCAGGGTACTGGGGAACTGAAATCTCTAAATACTAACTGAGAGTGATACTGAGAAATGCACTTTTAATAACTATCATTTCACCTAAATCTTATGAAGGGGACATAGGAAGACATTAACATAGTGTTTGTTTTTGCTTTGGGTCAAAATAGCAGCTTTTCAGGACTGGAACGCCAGGAAGCAGCCTGACCACTAGTGAGGTCTTCAAGGTCCACAGCAGACAGATCTGCATTTCCTAACGCTTGTCTTTCCTTCCACCTTCCATGTTCAGCGGGAATTGCCCCATTCCCTGACTATTTCTTTTTTTTTTTTTTTTTTTTTTTGAGACGGAGTCTCACTCTGCCGCCCAGGCTGGAGTGCAGTGGCCGGATCTCAGCTCACTGCAAGCTCCGCCTCCCGGGTTTATGCCATTCTCCTGCCTCAGCCTCCTGAGTACCTGGAACTACAGGCGCCCGCCACCTCGCCCGGCTAGTTTTTTTGTATTTTTTAGTAGAGACGCGGTTTCACCGTGTTAGCCAGGATGGTCTCGATCTCCTGACCTCGTGATCCACCCGTCTCGGCCTCCCAAAGTGCTGGGATTACAGGCTTGAGCCACCGCGCCCGGCCTCCCTGACTATTTCAAGAACCCATTGACTGGTATGTCTTATCTTCTGTCTTGCCTCAGTCATATTCATCCCACATATGCGTTCCAGAATGCTCTTATGAATGAATCAATCTCCTATCTCCTGCCTTAAAATCCTTCCATGGCTCTCCACTGCTTACCAAACAAAGCCCCACCCTTGGCTTTCACAACTCTCCATCCAGATTCAGCTTCTATTTTCCTTCTGTCTCATGCCAACCCCAAACCACAATTAAACCAAAGTGTAAATAGCTTTTATATAAATCCTGTACTTTTCCTGCTCCTGGTTCCTTCCTGTCTGAAATTGACTTTCTTGATTCTAATCATACATTTTCACAAAATCTTTTTTTTTCTTCAGAGACAAGGGTCTCACTCTGTCACCCAGGCTGGAGTGCAGTGGCATGATTGTAGCTCACTGCAGCCTCAACCTCCTGGGCTCACGCAATCCTCTCACCATTAGACTCCCAAGTACTTAGGACTTGGGGCGCGAGCCACCATTAGACTCCCAAGTACTTAGGACTTGGGGCGCGAGCCACTCATTAGACTCCTAAGTACTTAGGACTTGGGGGCGCGAGCCACCACTAGACTCCCAAGTACTTAGGACTTGGGGCGCGAGCCACCATTAGACTCCTGGCACTTAGGACTTGGGGCGCGAGCCACCATTAGACTCCCAAGTACTTAGGGACTTGGGGCGCTAGCCAATTATTAGACTCCTAAGTACTTAGGACTTGGGGCGCGAGCCACCATTAGACTCCCAAGTACTTAGGACTTGGGCAAACAGGCTAACATTAGACTCCCAAGTACTTAGGACTTGGGGCGCGAGCCACCATTAGACTCCCAAGTACTTAGGACTTGGGGCGCGAGCCACCATTAGACCTCCCTAAGTACTTAGGACTTGGGGCGCGAGCCACCATTAGACTCCCCAAGTACTTAGACTTGGGGCGCGAGCCACTCATTAGACTCCTACACTTAGGACTTGGGGCGAGCCACCATTAAATTCCCAAGTACTTAGACTTGGGGCGCGAGCCACTATTAGACTCCCAAGTACTTAGGACTTGGGGCGCGAGCCACCATTAGACTCCCAAGTACTTAGGACTTGGGGGCGTAGCCACCATTGTTAGACTCAAGTACTTAGGACTTGGGGCGCGAGCCACCATTAGACTCCCAAGTACTTAAGACTTGGGGCGCGAGCCACTCACAGACTCCTCCCAAGTACTTAGGACTTGGGGCGAGTCACTCGCCAGAGTTCCCAAGTACTGTGGGACTCTGGGGCGCGAGCCACCACATTAGACTCCTGGCATTTAGACTTGGGGCGAGCCACCATTAGACTCCCAAGTACTTAGACTTGGGGCGCGAGCCACCATTAGACTCCCAAGTACTTAGGACTTGGGGCGCGAGCCACCATTAGGACTCCTGGCACTTAGGACTTGGGGCGCGAGCCACCATTAGACTCCCAAGTACTTAGGACTTGGGGTGCGAGCCACCATGCCTGACCACATACATTCTCCTAAAAAGCTTAATTTGAATCCCTTCCTCCCTCGTCGCTTTTATGGATTGTTGCCTTCTCAGCTTTATACAGATATATCATTACCTTGCAATACAGCTCTTAGTTCCTCTCTTAAATAAGGCCTTGGATGGCAGAAACACATTTTAAACTTTGTAGTATACCCACACCTTGTCCTCCTGCAGTGCCCAAAAGTTCCTTAGTGTGCATTCAAAAAAGATAGCATTTGTTGTTGCTACAGACACATATTTTGTTCTCTCTAAACATTGGCTTGTGATTAATGTCTTGCGTATTTTTTTCAATGGGGATGAGGGGATAGAGTAATGTAACGATAAGTTATAACAGAGTTCCCCAGGCTGGGCACAGTGGCTCATGCTTGTAATCTGAGCACTTTGGGAGGCTGAGGTGGGCAGATCACTTGAGGTTAGGAGTTTCAGAGACCAGCCTGGCCAACATGGTGAAACCCTGTCTCTACTAAAAATACAAAAATTAGTCGGACGTGGTGGCTTGCGCCTGTAGCCCTGGCTACTTGTGAGGCTGAGGCATGAGAATTGCTTGAACCGCAGAGGCAGAAGTTGCAGTGAGCTGAGATTGTGCCACTGCACTCCAGCCTGGGCGACACGGCGAGACTCTGTTTCAAAAACAACAAAAACAAAAAGCAAACAAACAAAACAAGGTCTCCTAAAGTCCCCATCTTTGAATCTTACTTTAATTCTACTTTCACACATCATAAACAATGCTTAGTTTGCAAAGTTATTAATAATTAAAGGAGCTTGCTTTTTAAAAGCCAAATTGGATGATTTTATTATTCCAAAATCCAGTTAAGTGTTTAATCAAATATAATTAAACATTTAAAAATAGTTGTAAAGGCTTACAGATAAAATAAAAATCAACTTCAGTAGAACCAGAGGTGGTGAAGGATAGATTTATCAATGTGATTAAAAATATTTAAAAAGAGGCATAGCTTCAGAAAAGGAAACAAAAACTCAAAAAAAAAATTCAAAGTGTTTATCATGAAGAGAAACACTGCATACCATTCCTAGACCACAGGCTTCTTAATATGAAACCCAACGAATATTCAAAATTCGAAAGCCTCGGCCCTTGATATTTAGGCAGTCCAGAAGTAGAAATATACCCTAAATCACAGCTTAGGAGTAAGTTTCCCAAATATCCATTTTATCATGATTTAGGCTCAGAGGTGTGCTATCCAGAGAAACCTTCTGCATCTGCAGCTGTGGCACAGAAAACGACACAGACAGGAGGGCATCCCCCATTTCCCCTTCCCGCACCTTTGCTCTAGAATCAGGAAGAGCCTCAATCAAAGTCCCCAGGCCCCTAGAGGAGGGATCCGGTGAACCAGCAACGTGCAGACTAATCAAGGTGAAGTGGATCCAAGAAAGACTTTGGTTTGATGGTGAATCTTCACTGGTCACTTTTCTGGCATTAGGAAAACGGCAGTATGTGTTCTTCCGACATTTCTCCTTGAGGCCAGCTCTTCCGGTTCCACTGGGGATTCTGCTCTGGTCTGAGACCCGATGCCGCTACCAACACACAGGGTGCAGGTCCTGCCCTAGAGGAGCTCAGCCCTGGGGTCTAATCCATGATCCCTTTGGAACAGAGTGGCCCACATGGCACCACTCAACACTGACTGCAGTCGCACTGAACACCAGGTCAGAACAACAAGTGTGGGCTCTACTCCTGAAGCAGGCTTCTAGAGATCAGCATCCTCATCACTTCATTGCTACCTGTAAGAGGGAGGAAGAAGGAAGAATTTCACAGCAGCTAAGTCTAAGAGTTTAGTAAAGCTCTGACCAGGCTGCTCCAGGCCTAGCTCGGGGTAGCTGCAGATTTAAACCAGAATCATTGCTTTTCGCCTGGGAGAGATGAGATTTTTAGAGACTTCTCTACAAAGTACTGAAAAATGTCCAGAAATAATATTTACTTTTTAAAAAACTTACTGATAGTAAAAATGCTTATGTAAAGTTTAAAAAGGCAGAATAAAAACAGTATATACGAGATAATCCTAATTAAAATAAAAAATGTACCAACAAAGGCAGAGTAAAATGATTAAAAGGAGATATACCAAAATTACATTCTGGATGTGGAAACATGAGTGATTTTTCTTTTTACTTTTTCCTTTTTTTTTTTTGAGACAGTCTTGCTCTGTTATCCAGGCTGGAGTGCAATGGTGTGATCTTGGCTCACTGCAAGCTCCGCCTCCCAGGTTCAAGCCATTCTCCTGCCTCAGCCTCCTGAGCAGCGTGTGCCGTCACGTCCAACTAATTTTTGTATTTTTTGTATTTTTTTTAGATGGAGTCTCACTGTCGCCCAGGCTGGAGTGCAACGGCACAATCGTGGCTCACCGCAACCTCTGCCTCCCTGGGTTCAAGTGATCTTCCTGCCTCAGCCTCCCGAGTAGCTGGGATTCCAGGCATGCACCACCACGCCCAGCTAATTTTTTGTATTTTTAGACAGTCAGGGCTTCACCAGGTTGGCCAGGCTGGTCTCGAACTCATGACCTTATATGATCCACCTGCCTCGGCCTCCCAAAGTGCTGGGATTACAGGCGTGAGCCACCATGCCCAGCCAATTTTTTGTATTTTTAGTAGAGAAGGGGTTTCGCCACGTTGGCCAAGCTGGTCTCGAACTCCTGGCCTCAAGTGATCCACCTGCCTCAGACTCCCAAATTGCTGGGATTACAGGCATAAGGTACTGCACCCAGCCTACTTTTCCTAATTTTATAAGGTTTTAACAATAAATACAAATTTCTTTGGTAATCAGAAAACTGATTTATAAAACAACAAAAACATTTCCCCTGAAAGGAGGGTATTAATTATTTGCTTCACTTTTAGCAGTGGCCTTTAATGTAAAAACAAATATAAACTCCCTCGAGCAATCAGTAGTTACATCGTCTCAAATAAAGCATAAATTGTAGATTTATCCAACAGTCAAGTCCATGATGAAACAAAGTGGTAAAGTGATAAATGTCCCAATTCTTTTATAAGTGGGTGATGGTGTGGCCTAAAATAAATGTTTTCCCGCTTATTATTGCAGGGTTGAGAGACAGTCAGAATGAAGGCAAAGTTTCCCATGCACAGAAAGCTCCGTGAGAAAGCAATTCCAAGAGTAATGGAAGGAAAAACTCTGGGGAATTCCGTTTGAACCCTGGCGACTGAGCCCATAAACATCTTTCTGGAATGAGGTTTGAAGCAAGCAGCAGTCTAACCTGGGGTAGCCTGTGACTCTGACATTAACACCAGAGTGGTGGGTCTCAATGTGTGGTTCTCAGACAAGCTGCGGCAACCTCACTTGAAGACTTGTTGGAGATACAAATTCCCAGGCCCACACTAGACCCTCTGGGGCAGAAGCTCTGGGGTTGAGGCCCGCAATCTGTGCTCCCATGCCCTCCAGGCGATTCCAGCACAGGCTGAGGTTTGCAAACAGTGCTGTGAAAGGGGCAGGGAAGCCCCATTATATGATGTTTCCAGCAAGGCAGCCTCACGTTGCTTCACTGAAGTCACTCGAAGAAGCCTCTGCTCCTCCTGCTTTTCCAAGAGTCGTGTCATTTCAAGACTTCCGCGCTGGCTGTAGAGAGTGGAGACAGCCCGGCTCTGAGCCTGACCCCAGTGGCTTACATGTTTCCTAGACAGCATGTCTGTGACTACCAAGATACCCATATACTGATGGTTTATTTTATTGAAAAATACACTAGTAATATTGAGACAGGTATCTTTTAGGCCATCTGGCTGATAATCAATATAGAGCTACTGATGACCATACTGGCTCACATTTGCCCTGTACATCACTGTTCTTGGATCCCTGAGGACCACATACACTATCACCTTAGAGAAAACAACGGCTGTAGTTTTCAACATGCTTTCTCATCCATCATCTCAGTTCACCCTTCTCGCAAATCTACAGAAGAGCAATAGCAGAGTGATCCGATGCCCACCCACGGTGACAAAGCTGAGTCTCTGGACTCCAGGCTGGAGCTGTTTTTGTGCACCAAGCCCTTGCCAGAGCAGCTCTGTGGAAAGGGAGGGAGGAGGAAGCCTCGAGACAGACAGGGCTTGACTGGACCCTGAGGTCCGGGAGGCATGAGGACAGACACACTGGGGAAAGCAGCGATCCCGCCCCCGTTCTGAAGGAAGAGAAAAACCCCTGGCAATTTTTACCTTCTAGAATCTGGTGGACCCTGGAGTCCCGCATGTACTGCTGAACAGCGTAATCCTTCAGGTAGCCGTAGCCGCCGTGCATCTGTAAGGCCTGGTTGCAGATCTGCAGGGAGACAGGGACTAGACGTCTTGGACTCCGGGAAGACTGTGGAGCAAGCAGCTTCCCTTCCTACCCCAGCCCACGATCTGGCAGCCCGCTGTAAACTAATGAAAGAACCACAAACAGCCAAGCTCAAAGAGGCCTCCACATTCTGTACGGTTAGAGACAAGGAAAGTTCACCTACTAAACTTGTCAGTCCCCACCAGACAGGCAGGCGACTCAAAGCCCTCTGGCCCTCTGGCTTATTACCTGCCAGGCACAAGCTGCCCACGGCCACCCTGGCTGGGATAAGCAGTAGTTAGGGTTCCCCCTAGCGGCAAAGCAGCCTCAGTGTAGCTCCGCCCCTGACAATGTAAACAGGGCAGAGGGCTAAATTTGGGCTGCTGTGAACCTTCCAAAGGTGGTGTCGCACCTAGAACACAACCAAACAATAGTGCCGTAATGAAGTGTGTAATGGCATGCAGCAGACCTGAAAGCCAGTGATGAGAGCTCCCACGCAGGCCGCTCCTGAGTTAATTTATATCCTTCAGCTTAAGGTGATCCCCGTGGCATTCCAGAAGGGCTTTGTTCCAAAGCTGACTCACGCCTCTCAAGACCCTGGGCCTAGCGGCTGTTCCCTGTCCACCCAGCGGAGCCAGAGGAATCACTTACAGCAAAGCATTCATCTGTAGCAAAGAGCTTGGCCATGGAGCACAAGGCCACTGCCTCTTTCCTCTCTTCCTGCAGAGCCACTGCTGCATTGCGGATCATCAGCCGTGCGGCCACCAGCCTTGTTGCCATATCAGCCAGTGTGAACTGCAAGTACTGCAGCACAGGGAGAAGAGAACCAGACAAGACTGAGGGGCTTAGACCAGCACCTGGTGCAGAAGCCTGGCTGAGACATCTCTGAGGCACCTTTTTCTAAGTGATCCAAAGCTTCACAGTCTCTTGCTTTTTCTAGAGGAAATTTATTGCTTTATAAGTGCTAAGTCCACTTCACTCACCCAACACTCTAGTATCAGTAAAGATATCCTGAGAAAAGATGGACAGAAATAAAGCACAAGCTCTGGCTAGGACAGTGGTGGGACTGGAAGAGGAATTTCCTGGCTTCTCTCCTAGAAAATGTGGGCCCTAGAGCAGGTCCTGGGCTGCAAATAGCGGAAAGCCATGTGGAGGCAAGGGAGAGGTTACCTGGTTACTGGCCAGAGGCTCTCCAAACTGCTTCCGGACCTTGAGGTGGTCTCGGGTGAGGATGACAGAGGCGTGGGCAGCCCCCAGAGAGCAGGAAGCTAGAGGGGTAGAGCGCCGACGTTCCAACTGAGCTGGAAAACAGCACTGCTGGACCCGGACTGCCACCTCCCTACCGCACCCCTTCGTGTCTCACCAATATTGATCCTCCCTCCGTTCAGTCCTTTCACGGCAATGAGGAAGCCCTGCCCCTCGTCCCCAATTCTGTTGGCCAAAGGGACGGCACAGTCTTCGAAGATCACAGCTCGTGTTGGCTGGGAGTTCCACCCCACCTGGCAAAAATCAGGGACTGTGTGGCTGCCCAACAATCCAGCAGGTAGGGCGGCCTTCCCTGGAGACAGAAGCCTGTGAGGTATGGGTTTCAGCACCCGCGACTTAGACCCGCGAGAACTTAAAATGAGGAGAAAGAAAAAGTTCAGGTTTAAAGGCCTGTCAGCAGTCAGAAAGATATCTGTTTCAGCTAAACATTTCCTAACGTATTAAGAGAATCTACTTTCTAATGTCTACCCTACCTGACTAACTTACAAACACTTTTCACAAATTCTTTCAGGATTGTGACACCAACTGCCCTCAATTTCAGTGCCTCTAATTGAAAACCACAAATTATCTAAAATCTAGTTCCTTTCTGGCTCTGAAAATATGACTGCCTTTACATCATTTCCTTGCTCTCTTTTGTTGATAGGATAAACTTCATTTCTAAGCCTTTCATTGAAGGTCTTCCTGCCCAGGAGTTAGCATGGGCTTTGCATGTGGGAGAAGCCTAGGAAATGGCTGCTGTGTTACCAGAGAAGCGGGTGTTAAGATGCATAACGCCTTGTAGTTACGGAGGATCAGGAAGGATCCTGTAGGAAAATACGGAAACCTGAGGAGCTGTGAGAGATACACTTAGGAGTCATTTCATCACCTGCCTTCTCTCACAAAGTCCCCCCATAACAGTACAAACTAGAGAGAGATTACCGCTTTCAGCATCTGGTCTAAACAATCTGAATGGGTCTTGAGCCCTTATTACCAATTACGGTTACATACTCACAGGTCTCCTGTTCATGCCCTGGCCATGGCGGTTCTTCATTCTAGACGTGCCTTACTTTTCAAAGTACTTATAGTACCTAAGTGTCCTTCTTAGGTTGCTGAAATACCCACAATGATCTCCAATGAGTTTTACTTTATTTTTAATCAAAGAAGACAAAGGGACCACGTGCCTTCCATTACTGAGACTTGTGGTCAATACCAGGTCTTCTCTCAGTATCTCTTCCGGGAGCAGCAAAGCACAGCAACGTTAAGAAGCTGGATAGGAACACAGGTCAAAAGCAGAGGCAGGGAGGTCGGAACACTGACAGGTGGCTTGTAGACTTCACTGGCAAAAGCTGTCACTCTCCCCAGAGGCCTGGTGTTTAACAATGCCCTATTATATTGTATACGCTCCTGTTGAAAATCCTAATAGAAACAACTGCTTCGAAGGTAGGTTAGCAAGTATGCAAACCTGTTTTCTGAAATAGCGCAGGAGTTGGGCTGGCAGGTGGCAGTCTCATAACCTGAATTGTTTCCTGTTCGACAGCCACTCACCTTTTTCTCCTTCTTGCCAAAGCTGAGGCCAGGGGTCCCCTTCTCAACAACTACGCATGAGATGCCCTTGGGGCCTGGTCCTCCCGTTCGACACATGACCACATAGATGTCTGACTCGCCACCACCGCTGATGAAGGCCTGGAGGGGTAAAAGGGGTGCAAAAGGACCAGGGAATGCATGAGTTCTCACAGCATCTGGGAACACCACTGGGGTCCTCCTAACAATAAGGTCTAATGGCACAGAGACTGAGGGGTAAAAGGTAGCTGCAGTGACTGCAGAATCAAAGATACAGTTCAACAGAGTATTAAAAGGATGGACAAAAGTCAATGAAATGATCTGGAATCAGACTAGGAGAGAGAGAAACAGTGAGAATAAAGAAAGAGAAATGGGTCAGAGGTTCTCTTCCCAACACATAAAAATCCTATGGGAGTATTAACCCACAGATGTGAAGGAACCAGAGGATGTCAGGAGGAAGCTGGGAACAATTTCCAAGGTGCTCTGGAAGGACGCACACTAGTACCTTGGAGCCATTGAGGATGTAATGATCTCCCTGTTTCTTAGCGGAGGTCAGAAGAGAGGCAGCATCACTCCCGCTTCCTGAGGAGGGATCAAAAGGCAGCAGAGAGAAGCTGAGAAATCCAGTGAGGTTGAGGGAGCCCAGCACAATTCTATCTCCTAGGAAATCTTCCCTAAACAGACGCTGCTCAGAGTGTGCCAATGCAAAATCCACGTGGCCAAAGGAACGCTCTGTACTTGGTGGAAACTGCTCTTACCAGTCAGGCCACTGTCCACCTCCCAACACACCAGATAGGTCTCTTGGTCCTTGTGACATCAGGTCATAGGACTCTATTACTCCTCACCCAAACAGCTTGATAAACAGTGGCTCAACGTGTCAACAGGCTGGGAGGAGTGCTCGGTGACGCCGTCTGAGCAGGAAGCATCTCTCCCTGCTGTATCTCAGTGCAGTGTGGCAAACCCACCTGGTTCAGTGAGGCAGTAGGAAGCAAACTTCTCCATGGTACAGAGCGGTGGGCAAAATTTGTGCCTCTGTTCCTCATTTCCAAAGCTATCAATCATCCAGGCACACATGCTGACAGGTACACCAAGAAGAAAAGACATTGACAGAAATAAAGATGGGAAAGAAAAAAAATTGGGGGAGAAGGGGAAAGAGAAAAAGGGCAGGGCAGTAAAGCAGAAGAGTGGGAAGGGGAAAGTCACAACTGGGAAGATTCTTTAAAGGAAAAGGCTGGATTAAAACATATTTCTGGAATAAGAACTACCCAGAGATAACCAGGCTGAGGCACTTTTCACCAGGATGTCTGTACTACTTCTAGTCGGGTTACAGGAGCCTCTAAAAATCAGAGAGTTATATGTACTTTCTATGAGTAGTTTCTATTACTTCCTCAACTCACTGGCAGTTCCATCTCCGGATTGAGGAAAAAAGTGAGGGGGCCAGGCGTGGTGGTTCACGTCTGTAATCCCAGCACTTTGGGAGGCTGAGGCAGGCGGATCACAAGGTCAGGAGTTTGAGACCAGCCTGACCAACATGGTGAAACACCATCTCTACTAAAAAATACAAAACAAATTAGCCAGGTGTGGTGGCGTGTGCCTGTAATCCCAGCTACTCAGGAGGCTGAGGCAGGAGAATCGCTTGAACCCAGGAGGCGGAGGTTGCAGTGAGCCAAAATCATGCCATTGCACTCTAGCCTGGGCGACAAAGCGAGACTCCGTCTTAAAAAAAAAAAAGAAAAAAAAAAGAAAAGGGTGAGAGGACCCCGATCATTTTATTGGAGAAGTCTCCTACTACCAGCTCAAAATAAGATTTCTGAGAAAGCTGGCTGACCTGATTCCCTAAGCAAAACACAGGACGACAGAATCAAGTCCAACAGGCAGCAGCAGAACTAGCGTGTACTTTTTTTTTTGTTTTGAGACGGAGTCTCACTCCGTTGCCTAGGCTGGAATACAGTGGTGCAATCTCAGCTCACTGCAAGCTCCGCCTCCTGGGTTCACGCCATTCTCCTGCCTCAGCCTCCCGAGTAGCTGGGACTACAGGTGCCCACCATCACGCCCGGCTAATTTTTTGTATTTTTAGTAGCAACGGGGTTTCACCATGTTGGCCAGGCTGGTCTCAAACTCCTGACCTCATGATCCACCCGCCTCTGCCTCCCAAAGTGCTGGGATTACAGGCATGAGCCACTGCACCAGGCCCCTGTAAGTCCAGTTCCTTGAGGACACTCAGCCTCAAAAGATCAATCTTTTTCCTATGAATCTGAACTCTCACAGTCAGCCCATGTGGGTACTTCATTGTGCCTTCCAAGCTTGGGCACTCACTTGTGGATGCTCATATAGGCTGTGGTGCTAGTGCAGCCTGTAGCCAAGGCTTCGAAAATGACAGAGGTATCAAGCCGTGACAGTCCAGACCCACCCACATCTGTTCGTATGTAGACCCCTCCGAAGCCTAGCTGGGCTGCCTTCCGCATCACATCCACTGGGAACAGCTCCTATGTACAAAAGAGAGCAGGGTCATCAGCAACTGATTCAGAGACGGCCTTCCTTTTAGAGGGTTCAATGAAGGGATTAGGATGCTTGCACATGCGAGAGCACACGAATTCCCTTAATATGCCTGTTTGTCATCTTACAGTGGTTATCAGTTAACATGGGTCCTGTAAAAACTTTTTCTGGCATTAAGAAGTTTCTTTTTATTATCTATAGAACTGCCTTAGTTTTATATCCAAATCTTTATTCAATAACAAAAAAGAGTTATGTACAAGATGATCAGGATGCCTTCGAGGAAAAATCATCCACTACCATATCCTTACTTGCAGTAAGAGTTGGTAAGTGGAGGAGACATTTAACACTTAGATTATTAGGAGATGAAGATAAAGGTCTGCCTGAGACATCTGTTAGAACGTCTAAGCACAAGAAAAACTCCTACCTTCTGGTCCCACTCTGCCATATTTGGAGCCATCTCCCGGGCAGCAAAGTCAAAGGCCACCTTCTGAAATTCTTTCTGCTCTTCATTAAGTCCCAGGGAAGCTGTGGGCAGGATTGCATATACTCAGTTCCAGGGTAGGGTCAGGGAAGAGTGTTGCCAACTAGAAGCATGAAGCTGTGAAACTGGATCTACTGTAGTATTTCCCATACACAGTACAGCCTTTAACAGCTAGAGAATGGCATATTCTATCATTATTCCACTTGTCATATGGAGAAAGGACAGTTCTCACACACATCCAGATCAACCTAGAACAGGATAGGGGACTTCCAGACATCTCTTATCCTAGACACTTAGTAAAATGCAGTTGTAGACCCAGAGGTCGAGGCCACAGTGCTAGAATTTTGGTTATTATAACTGACACTAAAGAGCACTATGGGCCGGGTGCGATGGTTCACGCCTGTAATCCCAGCACTTTAGTACAGTAAGGCATAGAATACTGTTTTATGGTGGGCAGATCACCTGAGGTCAGGAGCTCGAGACCAGCCTGACCAACATGGAAAAACTCCACCTCTACTAAAAATACAAAATTAGCTGGGCGTGGTGGCACATGCCTGTAATCCCAGCTACTTGGGAGGGTGAGACAGGAGAATCGCTTTAACCAGGGAGGTGGAGATTGCAGTGAGCTGAGATCGCGTCATTGCACTCTAGCCTGGGTGACAGAGCAAGACTCTGTTTCAAAAAAAGAAAAAAAAAAGAGCATTATGGGAAGACTATGGTGCCACACTTGACACTAATTTACTTCAGTGCCTACAAGCGATGCAGTCCTTACAAAAGAACACAAGTGCAGGTGCCAGAGTCTGTTCCTCGGGACAAATCCGGGCATCAGTAATGGCTGGCTATGCAAACCTGGAGAGGACACCGTGTTCTGTGATCAGTACTCTCATTAAAACAGGAAAGTCAGAAATCAAGAGTTCTGAGGATTAATCATCGGGCTGCCTTGAGAAGCTCAGAGCAGAAACCTATGTTGGGTATTACTCTCACGAGCAGAGTTAGGGATAAACAACTCATGGTTCTCTGACCGGGGTCAGGCCATTTATTCACACAATTTTGTACAAGAGTTGCTGTTGCTGTAGACCATGGCTCAAAGATCATTCCCAAAAGAATGTTTATTGGGTGTTTACTAGGTAGCAGTGCTGGGGTTACAAAAATAAATATGATCCGGCCAGTCGCAGTGGCTCACGCCTGTAATCCCAGCCCTTGGGGAGGCCAAGGCAGGTGGATCACTTGAGGTCAGGAGTTCAAGACCAGCTTGTCCAACATGGTAAAACCCTGTCTCTACTAAAAATATAAAAATTAGCTGGGCATGGTAGAGTGTGCCTGTAATCCCAGCTACTTGGGAGACTGAGGCACAAGAATTGCTTGAACCCGGGAGGCAGAGGTTGCAGTGAGCTGAGATTGCACCACTGTACTCCAGCCTGGGCGACAGAGCAAGACTCCATCTCAAAAAAGTAAATAAAAAGATCCATTCACACAAAGGATGACCTCAATGGTAATAATGCATTTTATTTCAATCCTAGCAAGAGTTCATTAAATGCTAACAAATCTTCTTCTGTAAATAGCTACTTCCTAAAACAAATAGTTCAAGGAACCACAGGCTTAAGAAATAAATCTGAGTTGCAGTCTATTGGTAGTAAATAGTTTAATGGAAATCATATGCATAAGTAAACACGACATAACTACCTAAGTTCCCAGAAGGAAATACACTATAAAAACAAAACAAATACCACCACTCATGAACTTTGCCAGTTACTAGCAGAGTTCAAGATGCCAATACATACATACTAAAGAGGTAAAGCTAAATAGAAAAACAGTCCAAATGAAATGGGAAAAGCCTTTTACTGCAGAGCAACTCAAGTGTAAGCAAGATGCAAACAACAACAAAACCCACCTCTAAATAATTCCTTATCTGCTTTGGTATCAATCAGGGTAATCTTGGTTATCAAATTCTAAGTGCTAGGACAGGGCAGCCCCTCTTGAATGAATTTTAAGACATGGAGAAGAAAACAGTATTCTATGCCTTACTGTACTTCATAGATCTGATGTCTAAGGGACTTATTCTGTTGTAAAGAAAATTGTCATTTATTTAAAATAAATTAAAAATATTTTAGAAGAAAAAAGTGTTTATAAAGGTGCTTGGCAGAGAAGTCACAAACTGGCCGGGTCTCCACCACTCCTTGTTAGATGCATATTATTGTTTAGAGCCTAAAGACACTCAAGTTTGTCGGCTCCGGTAGAGTTTCTCACCTGCAGTAATAATTATTTTTCCTGCATGAGTTTCAACACTAAAAGTGTCTTATAGCCAGAGGTATTAAGATACCAAATCTTTGTGTGTGAGCTAATCTTGGATGACCTGGAGCTCTTGTTCAGCTGCCAGCATCAGTACCCAGCCAGCTTCTTACATTCTCACTACCTTTATGACCCACTGTTATGAATTTAAAAACCAACGAGCCCAACAACAACAACAAAGTCCCAAGTTTCTTCATTTCTCTAAGCATCCGAGGGTGACTGGCCGCAGGAGGACCCGGGCGGGGGTGACCGGCCGGAGGGGGGCCCGGGCGGGGGTGACGGGCCGGAGGGGAACCTGGGCGGGGGTGACCGGCCGGAGGGGAACCCTGGCGGGGGTGACGGGCCGGAGGGGGGCCCGGGCGGGGGTGACGGACCAGATGGGGACCTGGATGGTGGTGACCGACCGGAGGGGGCAGCCGGGCGGGGTGACGGGCCGGAGTGGGAAGACGAGCCGGCGGTGACGGGTCGGAGCTGGGAGCCGGGCCGGGGGTGACCGGCCGGAGTAGAGAGCCAGGCCGGGGGAGTGACTGGCCGGAAGGGGCGCTGACGCCGGGCGGACTGGATGGAGCGGGCAGACTGCAGTCCCTCAGGGACATATGTCCGCCAGGGCTCTGGACACCGGTCCTCCTGCCCGCCCAGGAGATCCTTACGGTCGATGCATGAGCTCAAGCTCCGGTGGCCGGTCTGGACGAGGGCCCGGAGACCGCCGGGCAGGCAGCCGAGGCTCGCCCCGAGGCGCCGGCAGCCTGTCCCCAACATCGCCACGGCAGCTTCGCGTTCAGCTAAAGGCCTGAAAGCCTCCGGCCTCCGCTGCGCTTTCACTAGCTGTGCTTGCGACCCAGCATCGTCTGCCCCACTGCACCCTGGGGGTTGTAGTCCTCCCACGAGCCCTGACAACCCACGTGCAAGGTGGGCTCCAAAGGGGGCCACGACTACAATTCCCAGAAGTCCTCGGGGCCTCGGCGCCGCAGAGTCGCACCGCCCACCTAGCGCCGCGGGGTTACGCTGCACAGCCTCCGGCGCGGGGGAGGCGGACCGCGGTCACGTCTGCAGAGTGGTGGGTTAGTAGCCGGTAGATTACTTCATCATCTATATTGTCCATTCAATTGCTCCTCATAATTAGCAAGGATAACAAGGTAACACAAGGCTTACTTACATTCACCCAACAGAAGTGTCTCTGTGGAGCCACTTCCCAGTGAACTGCATACTGAGAGAGGGGTCCCTGGATGAGGACCAAGCAAAGAAGCGAGAAGAGTTTAGGGGCAGGTTATGCGAGACGGAAATGGCGCAGATAACGGAGGGAAGAATTTGAGGGGCTCAACACAGTGTCTGTGTTTCGCAAAAGTTGGAGACATTCTAGGCTGCCTCTCGTTGCCCCCATCTCGCTCTGCGCGGGTTTTGGAGGACATTAGCATTCTTTCTTGTATCTCCGTTGATTCCAGAATCTTCTGCACTTCAGTCCCCTGCAGGGTGACCATGTCGAGACCTCGGAAGAGGCTGGCTGGGACTTCTGGTTCAGGTGAGCTGCCCCCAGGCTGCACAAAGGCAGCCCAAGAAAGAACCTTTCTCGAAGAACGTGTTTAATACTCTTCATTTTTCACTCCCTGCTTGTTGAGAGACCCCTTTGTGATTTTTTATTAACTTATCCTTAATCACTTTCCATCTTTGCGTGTCTCACCAAGCTCCTACTTAAGAGTTACTTTTTCTTGTTTATTCAGGCAATGGTTGTGACGCACAAAGACTGTTTGCAATACCAGGTGGCGCGCTAAAGAACAGAAATCCCCTGGTGGCGGGTAAACTGCAAACGTGATGGGGTTCAGGGGAATGGATTGCTACAGTTGTGGAGGGAGGAATCACAGGAAGGCCTCGAGAAGGACGTGTAATTTGAGCCCAGCATTGAAGAATGGGAGACTTTCCATGGGCAAAGTTTAGTACTAAGAAAACGTGAGGTCGTTTTTATATTCACAAAGATGGATGGCACTCTTAAGTGGATGGAGGAGGAGGAACATTGGAAGGTGCAGGAAGTACCTTTTTTGGTAATGACAGGGGTTCCAGATACACTGCAGTACATTGCAGTTATGTATCAATATGTGGTGTTTGCAGTGTGCCTGTTAACTCCTAAGGGGCCATCAGGAAACTAGGTTAGGAAGGTATACTGGGTTCAGAATATTAGATATCCATAAATAATATTTAATGACAATTGATGTAGGGACTTTGACTGAATTCAGAGGCAGTATAGTTATTCAGACAGACCTCAGTGACAGGTGCTGACCTCATATCTTGACTCCGCCATTACTGGATGTGTGATCTGGAGCATGCTTCCCAGATGAAGAGTACATCTCACAGGTTATGTAGATAAACCGAGTTAAAGTTAGGGTAACACACAGACCTTGGGCCCTGTCATATAGTAATCAAACTTAGCTACTGAATGCCTACTGTGTTCCAGGCACATTCTAATTGTCTTGGGATGAAATCGAATCATCACCATTTCTACAATGTCCTGAATGAACTGTTTCTTTCAACTGTTATTGGCACCTTCAAGGAGCAGAAAGGAGACGGGCCATGAGCCACAGTGAGCAAGAGGGGAAGAAGCATGAGATGAGAATAATAATGCTTTTATTGAGCATTTATTGTAATGCCAGGCATTGTCTAGGCCTTTTGTATTATCTCATTTAAGCTTCAAAATAGTTGCAAGTAGGTGCTTAGTTTCCTTTTTCCTATGCAAAGGCATAGAAGAGAGAGTGAGGAAAGGAAAACATTGACTACTGTCAGGACCTTTAATCCTGAACAGCCCTGTAAGGTGTTCTTATCCTACTGAATACATAACCCAGAAGATATCCTGTAAGGTAGGTATTCTTGTCTAATTTTTATAGATAAGAAAAGCTTCTTAATGGTAAGATTAAGGTCCTGCAGCTGGTAATGGATCCATGGTTTGAATCCAGGCCTGACTCCAAAGCGTAAGCTTTTTCCATTATGAAACATTGCCTCTAACAAGCATGATCTTTTCTTTTGCTTCTCCTGTTGCAGACAAGGGACTCTCAGGAAAACGCACCAAAACTGAGAACTCAGGTGAGGCATTAGCTGAAGTGGAGGACTCCAACCCTCAGAAGACTTCAGCCACTAAAAACTGTGTGAAGAATCTAAGCAGCCACTGGCTGATGAAGTCAGAGCCAGAGAGCCGACTAGAGAAAGGTGTAGATGTGAAGGTGAGATCCTTGACCTGTCTCCAGTCCCTTCATGGTGGTCTTTTTTTTTTTTTTTTTTTTTTTTTTTGAGACGGAGTCTTGCTCTGTCGCCCAGGCTGGGGTGCAGTGGCCGGATCTCAGCTCACTGCAAGCTCCGCCTCCCGGGTTTACAGCATTCTCCTGCCTCAGCCTCCCGAGTAGCTGGGACTACAGATGCCCGCCACCTCACCTGGCTAGTTTTTTGTATTTTTTTAGTAGAGATGGGGTTTCACCGTGTTAGCCAGGATGGTCTCGATCTCCTGACCTCGTGATCCACCCATCTCGGCCTCCCAAAGTGCTGGGATTACAGGCTTGAGCCACCGCGCCCGGCCTCATGGTGGTTTTTAAATGGGGTTCCATCCCCAGCTTCTCTTTGAAGGGTAGGAAAAAGGTAAAAATGAATAAAATCGACAGGGTTTATTATCATCAACTGGTTTATGAACCTATCTAGGGCAGGGGTTGGCTAACTTTTGCTACAAAGGGCCAGATAGTAAATTTCGTAGGCTTGTGCTTGTTAGTCTGTGTTGCAACCCTGCCCTTGTAGGAGAGTGGCCAGAGATAATACATAAACAGCTGTGGTTGTGTTAAAGGTCAACTTTATTCACAAAATCCAGCATGGGGTTAGATTTGCCCTGAAGGCTGTCGTTTGCCAACCTCAATCTTAAGTTACCTTTCTCTGACCACCTGCCATGCTCCTAGGTGTCTCCCTGCCAACAGTTGATGTATATTTCAGGGAATTTAATATAGCCTGGGAAAAATATAAGCAGAAATATTATAGAAGAAATATAAAGTGAAATGCAGGTATCCAGCAGATTACTTTATCATCTAGATTATCCATTCAGCTAATCCTCATAATTAGCAAGGATAACAAGGTAACACAAGGCTTACTTACATTCACCCAACAGAAGTGTCTCTGTGGAGCCACTTCCCAGTGAACTGCATATTTCCTCTATAGCCAGTGGTCCCTCTCACTGTTGGGAAAGAACTGTCTGCTTCCATATATGCTTACTAACTGGCCAAGGATTGTTTAATGATTGAATTTATTTTCTCTTGCCTAGTTCAGCATTGAGGATCTCAAAGCACAGCCCAGACAGACAACATGCTGGGATGGTGTTCGTAACTACCAGGTAAGAGGGTAAGGAGGAGGTTCCCTGAGAGCCAGGTGGGATAAATGCCTGCCTCCTCCTCATGACTTATTCAGTAGCAGAACCTCTTGGCCAAGGCTGCCTTTTTCAGAACCAAACCTGATAATGTATTTAAAAATGCCTTAAGTATGCCGCATGAAATTTGCAATTTGCCTGTGTTCTGGCCAGTGTCCTGGTAAAAGTCTGGGTGTCCTGGCAAAGGAGAAGGACTTTCTAATGAATTGAGAAGTGCAAACAAGAAAAACCCATCTATTAAAAGCAGACTTGATGTCTGCTAAAAGCTAGACCTTTCCAGCTGATGGGAGGATAGTTACTCTTTCTTCTCCCCTGAGACAGGCTCGGAACTTCCTTAGAGCCATGAAGCTAGGAGAAGAAGCCTTCTTCTACCATAGCAACTGCAAAGAGCCAGGCATCGCAGGACTTATGAAGGTTAGTTGGACAGGTTTTGGTGTGAATCCCTTTCCCTCCAGGGAGACTAACTTAAGTAGATATAAAGGGATACACCTTAATTAGGTAACAAAAAAGTACACTCCCCCCCACGCCATCCCCCTTGTACGGGAGTAGGGAAAAACTTCCCTGGCCCGTCCCTATATAACAACAACTGAAAACAAAGCAGGCCTTCATTTCAGGTCCCACCAGCAGACTTCACTCCACCTCTAAGTCTTGATCTCACTTGAGAACAGGCCTGATGGTAGCTCCTCCAAGCTTATCAGGATAAAATTACTAACTGTGCAGGTGGGAAAAAAACAGTGGTACCAGTAATAACCTTTGCCGTTTGTTTTTAGAGCATATTTTTAAGATTTTTGTAAAAACAGAGTTGATTTCCTAGTCTATATATTAGACTTTATATTATTTCCAAATTTCTGAGCCCCCATTGGCTCTACAGCAAGGCAGATGGGGTAAGAATGTTCAGGGTAAGAAATCAAAGTTGGATATGGATTAAAGATTGGCTGTGGAGCTGACTGCAGGCAAATGATTCAACACTTTTGTTTTGGTTTCAGATCGTGAAAGAGGCTTACCCAGACCACACACAGTTTGAGAAAAACAATCCCCATTATGACCCATCTAGCAAAGAGGACAACCCTAAGTGGTCCATGGTAAAGACTCTGCTTTCCATTTCATGACAGGGGAAGGATGAACAAGGGGAGGAAGACGGTTGGGCTGACTGTAGGTCAAGGTACACAGCCCGACACTTACTCAGATGAGGTGATACTGACGAGACAGGAGCTTCCTGCAGGCGGTTAAAAATACAGTGGGCAGAGTCAGCCTAGACACATCTTTCTATCATGTACACTATTGTCACATAGGTGGATGTACAGTTTGTTCGGATGATGAAGCGTTTCATTCCGCTGGCTGAGCTCAAATCCTATCATCAAGCTCACAAAGCTACTGGTGGCCCCTTAAAAAATATGACTCTCTTCAGTCGCCAGAGATTATCAATCCAACCCCTGACCCAAGGTAAGAGTGGGCCCTCTCCTATATCGTCCGTATACCA